TATATGGTGTTTGCTTTCTATTTTTGGATATATATTTTTTTTAAAAGGAGAAAATAAAGATTGACAATGCGTGCTTCTTGCGTACACGACACAACCCGTCCAGAGAACCTTACCCTGAGTCCCCTCCTGTCCCTTTCAACATCAGATGATCGGAGTAGGCCCAGTCCTTGTCCCCTCAACGAACGAGCGACCACTTTCTCTGCTTTTAACATTTCGTTCAGTTTTTCTTTATTTTCTGTTTTTATTTGGGTGTAAAAAAGGGGAAAGGGGGTGGGGGGGGAACACCCCATATCTGTTTTAGTATTAGTTCTACGGCGCTCGCAACTTTATAAGGTCATATGAGCGCCAAGGGGGATATAGCGCGCACATGGTTGGGGAAGGGGGTGGAGGGTGAATAGACAGTTTTACGAGTGGTGTCTTAATTTTGTCTTTCAGAAAATTGCGCACATCATCTAGATTCTATATTCCCTCCCACACTTGATTATTTTCTCATGGTTTTTTTTTACGTATTCCAACATCTACAGGAAATGATGGAGCTTATGCGCTTCCAGAGTACCCTCAAGGAGAACGAAATATCCGGATTGAACTTCTCGCACAAGAAAAAAGACGCAGTTATCATGGTACGTTTAGAGTGAAGTTGAGCCAGTAAAATTAGCGCACAGACTGAGACCAGCTGGAGCTACACGGTGGGGAGCAATCCATTACAAAACACAACAAAAAACAAAACAAAAACAAAACAACAACAATCCCTCCCCCAAAAACAACAACAAAACAAAACAACCTAACAACAACAACCGAACAAAAATGATAATAAAAAAGATCTTCAAAGGAAGTGTTCGGAGCCTAAGACACAAGTCATTCCTATGGATATATTTTCACACAAACTTAAGGACAAGCCTGCTCATGGGGGAATACACTGATGGAGGAGGAGAAGGAGGAGGAGAAAGAGGAGGACGAGGAGAGGGAATAAGAGGAGGAGGAAAAGGAGGAGGAAGTAGGAAGGAGCAATAATATGTAGTCTTATGTAATGATGATGATGATACTACTACTACTACTACTACTACTACTACTACTACTACTACTACTACTACTACTACTACTACTACAACTGCTACTTCTACTACTACTACTTCTGCTGCTACTACCACTACTACTACTACTACTACTACTACTACTACTACTACTACTACTACTACTACTACTACTACTACTA